AGTAAACGTAAAGATGTCGAAACAAGAGAGCAATCTGTCAGCCGTTGTCGCTTTGTTGCGCGCCGGAGTATGCATGAAAGAAATAATTCGGTCGGTAAATGTGTCTGAAAGAACAGTGTATAATATTAAAAAAGGCTTGGGAAAGTGATAAGACGGAGCACCTGCTCATACTGCTAATAAAGCACAGAAATGGCTTACGGAAAATATTTCGTAAATTTGGGAGGAAGAAATTTGGCCCCCAAGCAGTCCCGATATCAATTCGTTGGATTATTTTGTATAGGGCGTCGTCCAACAGGATACCAATAGAACCCCTCACACCACACTTAAGTCACTAAAAGCTAAAATCAAGGCAGTGATGACATCTATGGATCGAAACATTTTAAAACGTGCATACTGCAGTTTCCGGAAGCGTCTAACTACAGTCGTCGAAAGGGAAGGCATTTTTTTTTTTAATAAATTTACTTACAACTTCCATATGTTGCGAAAGAAAATAAATCGCACAAAATTCATTGCTAGAATAACTAACTGGTGTATTTTTTCTCAAATATGCCATTTACTGCAAAAATTCGTCACGCACCCTGTAGATTGAGGTTAGAATGACGCCACTAAATCCGCCCCGTAACGTTGGTAGATCACCTTTTCGAGGTACATTACTGGATGTATGATCTACCACCAATTCCTAGTCTTGACTACTTCAAACTAGGGGAACAGAATTTTTCAGTAATCAAAGGAACACATCTTAGTCCTTATTAATTTTTATGCCTTGGTGATAGTGATAAATCCTCGGGTTGCTTAGACCGAGGATGATCTTGAAACAAGGAAAAAATGAGTTAGTTAGTCTTCATCTTTGTGATTCCAAATCTTCTATTCGTTGTTCCTTAGTTTGAAGTGGTTAAGACTAGGGTTCTGATGCATGGTGATTATCGGTGTCATTCCTTAATTTTGTTGCTAAGGAATCCAATTTTGACTGGCAAAGGGGCGCGTCTTTGGAGGGTGTCCCGATCCGGATCCGGATGTAATTTACTTGAGCTTTAAAGTAAAATATTCACAATACTAGACTTGGAATAAATAAATACGTGTCAATACCGAAACTTTACTTCCGGTATTGGTTTTTGACGGTTTCGAATCAAAAAGAACATGTAATTCTTAGTAGAAATCTCATAGTATTAATCGCAGAATTATCGTGGAATTCTGATCAGAATTATTATGTGTAAACTCTTCTCTTGATACCTTGGAATTCGTTTTGGAATTCCTTTGAAACTCGGCTAAGAATTTCCACGGAATCCTCCTTAGAATTCCTTTCAAACTATCCTAAGTATTCGATCCCTTTAAAATTCTTCTAAAATTTTTCTTTGAACTTTTCCTCTTTAATTCTATTCTATCTATAATTTTATATTCAAAACTCACCACAGAAGTCCTTCTGAAAACTCTTAAGAAACCCCTTGAAATTTTCCTCAGAAATCCCTTGAATTTTCCTCAATTTTGTTTAAAAATAATCTCACAGTATTATTCCTTTTTTTTTATTTTCCGTTGAATCTGTTCCCCTAAATTTCAATTTTCTTCATTTTTCATTCTTCCTAGAATCTCTTGGAATTATCTAAGGATTCCTTTGAACTTATTGTTGAGATTCTTGTCAGGACTCTTTAAAAAAATTCTACTAGTCTAAGACATGCTTCAAGTCTCCGCGTACATCGTACGGGTTAGGCAAAATATGTGCGTTTGACTTTATACTGTCGCATAGATGGCCCTTCGCTCATTTTCTACTTCTATTCAATTTTCATACTGCCGTACCCTAGCGGAACTATACACCTCTTCTAAAGATCATTCTCTAGCTAGTAAATTATCACACTAAAGCATCATGTTAGCATTTCCAACCAACTCTGAAAATCGCAAACTTCGCGTATGAAGTAACATAACAACACTTTGAATATAATTATGTTCGATGGATTGTCCTCGGAACGGCCATTCCGGAGTAAGTTCCCGTAGGGTCTCTAGTGGCCATAGAAGTGCTTGGGAAGAAATCCCTACAATATGGGTATTAAAACTCATGAATTTGCAGCAGAAGACCGTTTATCATAATTTTGTGGTCATTTGATGGATTGTCCTCGGTACGGTCATTCCGGCGCAGGCTCCTGTATGGCTTCTAGTGGCCATAGTTGTGTTTGGAAAAAAACCCATATAATTTGGGTATCAAAATTAATGAAATTACACAGGAAACTATGCCCCATGTCATTCTTTCGTCATCTGAATATCAGGGGAAGCTTCCTATAGATATTAGTGACGTTTAAAGTACGCACACTAACGGACACAATCACCGTATGGATGGATTCTTCCCGCTAAAATGAGTCTGACAGTGGTTTGCTATTATTTTACACAATTTTTTCACTAATACTTTTTCACAAAGCGCACTAACATTGGTGTACGCGTACGCAAACTAGTGCAATAAGCGTCAGCAATCTCAATGGCATGTGAAGGTTTGTTTACAAAAAGCTTGTAGGCCCCTTTCTCGTGATACTCTTCAAATGTGTTTTATTTTTCACCTTTAGCCCGCGTAACGGAATCCATCTTTTAAATAAACGTCTTAACAAATATTTCATGTAAAATTGAGTGCTCCCACACTTAAAAATTCGTTACTCGACGAAAAGTACGTTTGATTGAGCTGAATTTCGCGTCTGTTATGACTGAATTCTATGTCAAATTTGACGCTCGTATATGTCAGCCTCGGAGCACTTAAATTTACATGATTTTTTCGAAGCGTGCAGGTTCTACCACCGACAAACCGACATGAATCACCATAGCAAAAACAATCCATCGGATGACCACAAAATTATGATAAACAGTCTCCTGCTGTAAATTCATGAATTTTGATACCCATATTGCAGGGGTTTCTTCCCAAACACTTCTAGAGATGAACTAGCCTTCGGCTAAAAATCTTTATAATAAAGATAAAAAAAAACCCAAACACTTCTATGGTCACTAGAAGCCCTACGGGAACCTACTCCGGAATGGCTGTCCCGGGGACAATCCATCGGATGACCACAAAATCATGATAAACAGTCTCCTGCTGTAAATTAATGCATTTGAATACCCATATTGCAGGGGTTTCTCTTCAAACACGTATATGGTCAATAGAGGCACTACGGGAACCTGCTCCAGAATGGCCGTACTGGGGCAATCCATCGGATGACCACAAAATTATGATAAACAGTCTCCTGCTGTAAATTCATGAATTTTGATACCCATATTGCAGGGGTTCTTCCCAAACACTTCTATGGCCACTAGAGGCCCTACGGGAACCTGCTCCGGAATGGACTTCTGGGGACAGTCCATCGGATGACCACAAAATTATGATAAACAGTCTCCTGCTGTAAATTCATGAATTTTGATACCCATATTGCATATTCCCAAACACTTCTATGGTTACTAGAGGCCCTATGGGAACCTGCGCCGGAATGGCCGTTCCGGGGAGAAACCTTAAACTGGTCTTCAAGTAAGCTGAAATTGTTTCTTGAAGGAGATTCTGATACTTTCATATCGATTCCTTCGAAATTCTAGCGAAAGTGGCAAGAAAATGCTTAGTTCTGGAACATTATACAGGAAATCCGGATTTCCGGGAACCAGACTATTCCGGATGGACATTTTTGGCAATTCCAAAAAGAGGATAAGTTTCTGAATCCAATGGTGCCAAAAGATTCAAAATCGGTCGCAGTAGCAAGTATTTCAATTTGTGGGTACCAGAGTACCCTTGTCGAGCTTCTAAAGGTGTTTTTTTTGTCGATCACATAACGGTTAATAATCTTTTCCCATCCCGATGACCGTAAGGACCCCTAATACATTTATTATGGTTACTTTGTTTAACGACGTGTTCCGGGTATCATCCATTTCCACGATTTGTGATATAGTTCTATAATTTAAGTTATCGTTCGTTTATCGTATATTTTTTTATTAAGGGCGTTGTTGACCATTCCAAATAATAAACCGTCGAAATATGTACGTAGAAAATGGTAAGCTCATCCCAAACCGTATGGTTGTAGAGACGAACCAGCCTATGGCTCAAAGTCTCTTTAATAAAGAAACAAAACAAAAACTAAGGTGCATTAATTTGGATTTTATGTATAGTTTTGCTAGTTCTTGCCAATCACGGAGTAGAACCTACAAAATGTACGCCCATCTACACTCAAATTCAACCTCAAGTCGAAGTTCAACAGTTCAAACCTGATTCCACTTTAAAGTCTGATAGGAAGGGTGAGCCAGTAGTGGAGGAACTAAGGGAATTTATTTATTAAAAATTTATTAAACGATGTACGTACAATTTTTAAACATCAAGCTATAGGTGTATTTTACTAGAAAAATATTACATAGTAATTTTTCGAAAACTTGTCCTCCATTAATAGGAACACTGTTGCAGTAGTACTGGTAGTTGCTCACTTTGGTTCCTATAATAGTGGAATGCATTGGATTATTATGGGTTCCACTATTATAGGAACACTACGGCAACTATAGATGCAAAGGAGTAAAAATGTTAAGGCAAATAAAATGTTTTCCGTCATTTTGAGCTAATTTTAAGTTGAAAAATGCAAATCTGCTTTATTTTAGGAGAGCTATAGATGAAAAATAATCTTAACCGGTTTTCCATCATTATTCCGACACAACCCCCATACCGCAACTATAGGTACACCACTATTATTGGAACACCTACCCTATTGTATGTCAAATTTTCCAGCGTGAAAAAAAAATCTGAGATAGTTTTTGTTGAATATTATTAACTACAATAATAATTGCATACTTTTCATGACACATGTGTTACACAGAATATGTTCGATAACAAGAGGAGCACAACGTAGATGACATGCCGCTAGTCTACCAGGTGTCCAACACTACACCGACAACTGTCTTTCGCCAAAGCTGAAGCAAAGCTAATTAAACAAATAAACAAAATCGAAAGCGTTAATCCGATTTTCAACTCATTCCATAATTTTTCCTCTCTCTTCCACTTGCAGATCACCGATGTCTACACATTTCACCGGAGGCTCGCTCGATTTTCGATTGTTGATCAGCAGCACAACTCCACAGATGAACAGCTGTTGATGTTGACGCCAAACCAAAACCATCTTGAACTAAAGAAAAAAAACGAAAACAGATCAACTGTTTGTGTGCCTGCTCTATACGAGCGCCTGTTCCAGTGAATAGTTATTGTCAGTCTGTTGAATCTAGTTTTTTATGATTGTTGTGAAATTTCATTTTGTAGCTTTTCTCAATTAGGCAATCATCAATCGATGAAGAAAAAATCAAAATGTAAAATTCAAGGCTGAAAATTAACAGTGATCGAGAGATTTGTGAATTTAAATAGTGTAAATTTGTAGAAAAAGTGCAATTAGATCCAGGGAAGTGTGAATCAAGTCCTAATGGTGTTTATCAACGATGACACAATCGGAGGATTCGAGAAAGGATGGTCCATCGGCAGGTGGATTTCAACCTGCGACGCCTCTGACTCCACAGCAACCGCAGCAACATCTGCAGGTTCCGGGGACGCAACCCGGCCTGCCAAGCGTCACAGATACCAGTCGTACCTATGTGTTTCCCGGTCCAAGTGTCACGGCCGGTAGTGCCGTACCAGTGAGCGGTGTCAATGCGAGTCGAACATTGTTCGAAAACCCTCGCAGTGGAGGCCATTCCCGTTCGATTAGTCATGGAGAAGGTTCCTTTGGAATGGTCGGAGCAGCGGGTAGACCGTCGGCTCTCAAATCCGCTGTCAAAGGAGGTCATCAACGGGCGCTATCACATGGACAAATCACGGACGCCCCGGTACCTCGATCCGGCCATAGTCGAGTTGGATCCAAAACAGATTTCATCCTACCGCCGGGTCACAAGGAACAACCGGAAACTCGGGAAACAGGTACAGCTTCCACGTCCGCAAAAGGCCATTCACGGCAGGCTTCGCGATCGGAATCCATTTACACACTGCGAAGGGCCGATCGTCCTCCCTGGTGGAAAAGATTCATGTTCTGTCGCAGCAGCAAATTTGAAGACCGGGGCTACCGGATAGTAGTTCCTAACCACACAGTGCCTCCGAAAACACCAAAAAATGACCATCCCAACGGTCGCCTAGTAGGGAACAAAATTCGGACTACCAAGTACACACTGCTATCGTTTGTGCCGAAAAATCTTCTCGAGCAGTTTCACCGAGTCGCGAACCTATACTTTATATTCATAGTGCTACTGAACTGGTTTCCCCAGATTAACGCGTTCGGAAAGGAAATTGCCATGATCCCGGTACTGTTCGTGCTGGGCGTGACGGCAATTAAGGACCTGTTTGAAGACCGGCAGCGACGGGCGTCAGACAAGCGGATTAACAACTCGACTTGCCGTGTTTACAATGGGTAAGTTCCGCCTTCGCCTTAGCTATATTGTTGAACAGTGTTATTCGTTTATGTCATTTGGCATCAAAGCGAGCGCTGTCCCTTCTTATCAATGATATACAATCAACGGCGTGAAAAATGGATTCGTGTTTTTTTTTATTACAGCCCCAACAGGTTGATAAATTCCACTTATTGAGTGTGCGTGGGGTTCATAAAATAAATTCTTCGGGGAACAAGCAGGTGCTGTTGTTTTTTGCCTATATAAAGCATGCAATAGCAAAACTAGGAAGCGCATTTTGAACTTAATGACTTATGGGTGCTGTTTTGTTAGCCACGACGAAGTTAGCGATTATAATGATGAGAGTGCTTGTTTTGGTTGAAATGGGGGCTTGATGTTTGTGAAACGATCTATTGTATCGCATAAGCAGCACTATTCGAAAAATTTGAATGTTTATTAGTAGTACATTTATGTCGCAGCATTGAAAAACGTATCGCCAAGGGTTGTTATCAAGTAGCTGAATGCGTTGATTGAAATAGCACCCGTGCGATGAATTGACTATGGTTAGTTACATCATATCTAGGACTTCAAATGAAGATGAGTTTGATGTCGATTATGTACAGCATAGAAGTGACACTTGAAAGTGGTCTCGAAAGTGAAATAATAAAGCAATAGTGACTGTACTGCAATATAAATTCGATTCATAATATGGGTAGGCGGGTAGAGGGGAATAACATAACCACGAGAGCAAAATAATATCTAATTTTACTGTCAATCTCTTATTATGTTATTGGTAAGTCGTGTGCTATAACATGTTAATTGCTTATTCTGCTTATAGCTATTTATGCTATAATAAATATTTTAAAATGACATGAAAATAAGAAATTGTATTATGATAACAGAATGAGTTATTACTATGTTATTGATATAATTTATTGCATAACAAACCATTAGCTCTATGAGATATGGTAGCACGCATTGATATTATTTTGCTACTCCCACCCGACATTTCTCTCTGGATTAGCTGACACTTCGGTTACTTCATAGAATTATCAAAAAATACCAACATAAACATTTACGCAAACAATTAAAATCACATACTGAATAATAATTTCTCTGATGAGAGTATCAGTATCCATAACAATTTGAGATATTTTTGAACATTTTGAAAATTACCATTTGTGTAAAGTTCACGCAACACCCCGAGCAGGAGAAAATAACTAATGAATACCTAATTCTGACCTGATACCAAAATTAGGTATTGACCATTTTTGGTATTATTCTTTGGTATTTTACCTCTTATGTCAGGCTCATCCATACCAATTTAAGGTATCGAGCAACCAGTTAAGTACTTTCAGTGGCACCGATGGTGTAGTGGTAAGCGTGATTATCTCACACCCCAGCAGGCCTGGGTTCAATTCCAGTCGGCGCCGCCGGGATGTTCTGAGGCATACCATTTCTGATCACGGGAAGGGAAGTAAATAAAGCAGTTTGTCCCCGGTTCATGAGTTGATGGGTTGATAGGTAGGGTCCAGGCGTGGGAGCTACCTCCCTGGCGTCGGTAGCATTGGTGCTTAGCACGGAAAACAAATCCAGGAAAATAAAAGTTAAGATCTTTTGTTAATCTTTTAGTGTTCAACTTAAATTTTTTATAGAAGTTAGTGATTTTTTGTTAATAATGTTTTTTTTTTTTATGTTACAGCCAAAATTTCTTTATTTTTTTACCGTGTGTATTTTTCCAGAAAAGGATTTTTTCAAACAACTTTGTCTCAGGCGTCATTTCGATTGGAAGTGGCGTTTGCGAGTTACGACATTTTGTTGGAACATTTTGAATACGCTATGTGGATGTTTTTTTATTGCGAATTTCAAAATGGTCGAATTTTAGCACAAATGTTTCTGCAACAATTATACAAAGTTTCATGTAAATCGGAGATTATGGAGTCTGAAAATATTATTTTTTGTTATTTGGCCTCGAATGAGCATTTTTGCTAGTTTTGTGTGTTTTGATCCTCTAGAGAAATTTGCGTTTACAGGGTGATTCGGAGTAACTGTAACTTAGAAAAATGGACATAACGATTGGATTCTTGCATGAGTTTTTGATATCAGTGCATTTCCATTAGCTCAGTCGGTAAAGGTGCAGCTACAAAGCAATACCATGCTAGAGGTGACTGGGTTCGATTCCCGGTCCAAGTCTAGGAATTTGTCGGGTTGCATAATTTCTCGACTTTCCTGAGCCATAGAGTATGATTGTACTTGCCACACAATTATACTAATGCAAAAATCGTACCGGCATTGAAAGCTCTCAATAAATAACTGTGGAAGTGCATCTAGAGCACTAAGTTGAGAGCACGCAATAAGTTAATATGTGATAAGCAATAAGCTTGAAAAGCAAAGAAGAAGAAGAAGAAGAAGAAGACATATATTTCAGATATACTACATATATAACCTTCAACTTAGCATACATAAATTCAAATCTCTCTCCCTTTACCTTAATTATCACCAACATTTGTCACGAAAATGAATTTACAACTGGCACGCACGTTTTAGTTACAGAACTTCTGAAGTCCTGACGAAGCGTTTAAACCTTGATATTGATCGAATTTTCCTAGTATGAAAATTATTCCTCTATAGCGGCGCTGGTGGTGTAGTGGTAAGCGTGACTGCCTCTCACTCCAAAGGGCCTGGGTTCAATCTCAGTCGGTGCCGTAGGGATTTTCTGCGGCTTAAAATCTTTCAAATTAAGGATTAGCTTACATAAAATGCATAACATAAAATAAATTTACAAAAATCCTAGAACATCAACTTTTGCTAAATTTTTTGATCTTTTTGTTAATACTCTTTGATTTTTGTAATTTTTACGCAAAACACAATATTTGTGATATTTTAAATCGTTATACAAAAGCTTTTCAATATTTCAAAGGTTTGCTTTTTTCTATATGTTTTTTTTTTGTTTTGTATCGGAAATGTTGAATAGAGCATTTTTTTTGTTATTTATGTTTTTTTTAACACTTTTTAGATTTTCACTCAAAATTACCGTGTATGTGTTTCCTAAAAAGAAGTTATTTTTCATTACAACATTCTCTCAGGCGTGATTTCGATTTATTGAAAAATGTCGAATATAGGGGAAATGGATGTAATGTCAGCCTAAATGCCCCTAATTTGGGCCCATACATAAATTCAGCAATCGGCTAAATTTTCAATAGCGACCAAAAATATCCATTAGTACAGTCCCAATGACGCGTTCATCTACGTAAAATTGATAAATAGCAGCTTTTTAGCGATGGGCCCAATCTTAGATACATAGGCCAACATTAGAGCCATTTCCCCTACCATTTTGAAAAAAATGCAAGATTGAAAGTGGCCGAATGATAGCACAAATGTGAATGATTATCCATAACAAACAATTATACATAATTTCATGCAAATCGAAGAAGGTCGAGCCTGATCTATTTGTTATTTGGCGTGGAACTGATTCATTGTTTACATTTGTTTGTTCAGCCTATTTGAATTGTTTGTCTAGAAATGTTCGTGAAACAAATATGGCAACCGGCGGGCTTTAAACCCACAAATCCCATTCTGTACACGGGTGAATTAGCAATTATATTACTGGTACCATAAAATGGGATATCTTTGATAATGCGGGTAATTTTGATAGCAGAATATAATGATTAAATGTACCTTCTGCACTATTTCCCAATTGGAAACATTGGTTCCATTTTAATATCGTATATAGTTTTTATATAGTAGTTTTTATATAGTTACATATTTTCCAAATATCTGAAAAAAAAAAATTTCTTGTTTTTCGCCTGTTTGAACAGGCACTCATACAATCACTTATCAAATGTATTTCCAATTAACCATTCCAAATTCAATGTTGTTTTTTCATGGCTTATGATGTTTTTGAAAAATACTCATTCAAAGTTTCATAGCTCTTGAACTGAATTGTTTAAGATTCACGCATATTTTTTCAACATTAATCGAGTATAATCAAAGTAACCCCAACACACACACTGATGTTCGGTCACAAGACAAAAAAAATAGGGCAAATGCAATAATTTCCGTTAAACATATTGCTAAAGAATTGACTCGAGAATCGTCAGTACTTGTTAAAAAAAAATAAAAATTGAAAAACATTAATTGTTGTGAAACATATTTAGAATATACTTAAAAAACCGATCAAAGTTACCCCGTTTTACGGTACCGATAAAGTACGCGCAATGTTTGGCTAATGACGTGTTACATTATGTCCATATCCTCCATGTCCATGTCCTTATCCTTTACATTTGTCAGATCATTTAATTAGAACAAAATGTGATAAAAAGTGTGTTGACATAGTTAATGTTCAGAACGAAATTTATGTTATGTGTATCAAATACGTATATTCAATTCAAATGAAAACTGTCGCTGAATAACTTTCGGTATTAGGAAGTATCAACATTTTTGAGATATTATTGTTCCCAAAGTTGTAAAGGAGTCCGCTTTGATAATCGTTCTAGAACGGTTGTGTGTTTTTGCTCCGCTGTATGCTGTTATTTTATTTTATTTTTTATTATTTTTTTTTAGCTCTGGCTATCTTGGTGCTGGCGTGTAGTTTTTCGGTGCTTGCATTTAAATAGTTTTGTGTCCCAGGCGCGATAATTTGATTTAGAATGGTTTGTGCTGATGTTTTCCCCCTGTTGCTTAGGTGCCGGGTGTGCTCTCGCTTTCCTTTGTTGCCGGTGTGACTTGACCGCGCTAATCTATTATTAGGTTTTTGCGATGTGCATTGCTTTTTTGCACAGAGTGGCTTGAAAAAGTAAAGTTATATTTAGTTATTGTGGGGTTGGAATCGCTGGAGGAGGAATTGTTTAAAAATGAGTAAAAAATAAGCATCGGGATTGCGCTCCCGGATATATTGATTTGGTGAGTACACTGAAGTCTTTTTTTACACGGTTTTTTACGCGGTTTTTTTTACACGGTTAGTGTCGCTGAGTCGCGATTTACACGGTACGTTTTTAACGATTTCTCGAGAACGATATAACGT